GCACCCAACTCAGTGCCCAGCAAAGGGAGAGGAAACAAGGGAAGCGAAAAGAACATTTAGAGCCTGCTGTGTGCCAGGCACTATGCTAAGCACTTTAAAAATATTATCTTACTCATAATTACCATGGTTAGGCAGGTGCTATTATCACCCCCATTTTACAGATGAGGAAAATGAGGCAGACATTGGTTAAATGACTTGCCCAGGGTCACTCAATTAGGAAAGCGTCTGAATAGGACTGAAGCCAGGTCTTTCTGACTCCAGACCTGGTGCTCTATCCACTGTGCCACCTAAGCACACAGTAGGGGTTTAATGAGGCTTGTTGGATTGAACTGACATTTTGGTTTCCAGGTGCCTCTATTATCTGCCTTCTTTTGCAGAGTTGGGATCCTTCGGCTATGGGGACTTGTCATACATTACATGCCATGTTGCACAGACATTCATATCCATTTACTGTTGACATGTGGGGTCATTGTGATGAGCTGGTTTTGTTATCTCCTCTCTTATTTTTTCTGTTTGTTACAAAGGATGGCTTTGGGGGAGGGGTGGAAGAAGGGAGACATTGGGAAATGAAGATGATACAGAAACAAAATACATCAAAGGTTAAAAAAAACCCAAATGTTAGCTCCTTTGAGTAACTTTAAAAAGGTTTATTTAAAATAGATTTTCCTGCTATCTTTTGTTTTTCCTTCCCCTGCATTTCTCAGTGTATCTTCCAAGTCACTGTTAATTAGCTTGTTTAACTTGCAGATTCTCCTCCAGAGGGCAGGGAGCAGCTGGCTTTTGTACTTCCACACCCAGGGCCTCATCTTTGTCACTGAGTAGGTCCTTAATAAAATGCTTCATGAATCTGCTATCCTAGGGAGCCATCCATCAGCTCTTATCTAAGTGTGGACCAGCTTGGTACTCAAGTCATGATTCCTGATGTCATGGTTCTCTTCCAGAACGAAGGACAACCAACCATCTTGGAATTGTGTTAGGAAGCCTTCACTGTAGTGGAAAGAGTACTGGCCCTGCAGTCAGAGGATCTGGGTTCAAATCCTACCTGTGACCCTTACTACCTGTGGGACTCTTGATTAACTCACTTCAACTCCCTGGCCCTTGAGAGCTTCATCTAGAGAAAAAGAGGAGGTTGGAGAAGATCAGGGCTTCTTCACCTGGGTCCATGCATTTGATTTTGAACATTTTGATAGCTGTATTTGAAAATAACTGGCTTCCCATTTAATCCTATATGTTTTATTTTATGCATTTAAAAGCTTTATTCTGAGAAGGGGTCCAGAGACTTCCCTAGGTGCCAAAGGGGGTCCATGAATCAAAAAAAAAAAAAGGTTAAGAACTCCTGGCTTAGAGGGACTCAGAGGTCCTCACTAGCTCTAAGCTCAGGATCCTCTTTAATGCAACTCAACAATGACTGCTCTGTGGAAGACGCTTCCAAGGCCCCTGCAGGGACACAAAGAGGTAGCATCCTCTGGTTTTCAAGCTCTTTATGACCTGGCTCATTCTTCTCCTCTCTTCTTGACCCTTATCCCCCTTCATGTCCTCTTCCATCTAATGCTGGTCCTCAAACAACACGCTCCCTCTTGTCTCTGGGTGTCATCTCTGGCTGTCCCTTCCCCAGGCCTAAAATGCTCTTACCACTAACCTCATCGGCTTCTTCTGAGACCCAGCTAAAAGCCTACCACTTCCAGGAAGCCTTCCCCTGCCCCCTCTGCATTCCAGTGCCTTCCCTCTGTTAAGGATCTCCTATTTATCCTGTCTGTAGGTGTCTATATATGGGTGTGTGTGTGTGTGTGTGTGTGTGTGTGTGTGTGTGTATACATATATATACACATATATATATGTAGAGAGAGACAGAGACAGAGTACATGTATATGTATATGTGTGTAAGTATATATGTTGATACATACACATGTATCTATACACACACATATATAAACATATGTGTGTGTGTGTTTGCATGCTTTCTCCCCCATTGGATTATGAGCTCCTTGAGGACAGGGACTGACTTTTGCCTCTTCTATATCCCTAGTATTTAGTATAGTGCCTGCACATAGTAGGTTCTTAATAAACACCTACCAACTGATTGATTAGTTTTCTTCAAGTCTTAATTAAAATCTTCTTATGCAAGAAGCTGCTCCTGCTTCCCCTTAGCACTAGCAACTTCCCATTTCTTTTGCTATTTCTAGTCGTAAGTGGTTTGCCCAGGGCATTGAGAACATAAACTTACTCAGGGATCTCAGGATCACTGACTCTGCTGGAAGGTATCGAAGAGATCATGTAATCCGTGACTTCTTAACCTTTTCTGTATCATGTCCCTTTTGGCAGTGTGGCAAAGCCTAGGGAAGCTTTCTCAATTCTATTTTTAAATGCTTAAAATACATAAGATTGTGAAGGAAACTAATTAAAATGAAATAATTATAAAACTATATATATAATATACATATATATACATATGTATGTATACACACATACATATTTAAAAGAAGTTCATGGATCCTGGAATAAGAACTCCCACTTGGGTCTAATCCACTCATTTGACAGATGAGGAAAAGGAGGCCCAGACAGGTTATAAAGGACTTTCCCATGGTTGCACAGTTAGTGTATGTCCGAGACGGGTCTAGAACCAAGGTTTTTCAGACTCCAAGGAGAGATCTGCACCCTCTAGGTCACACTGTAGAAATCTACAGTCATTTAAAAAATCCCAGCCACTCTGGTGGCCTTCCCGAGAGCTGCCAGTGAAGAGGGTGCCTCCCTCCCATAAGCTATCTCATCACATCATACTCTGATGGGCATTCTCTTTCGCCACTACATGTCCTATTTCCTCTATCCTAGATTGTAAGCTTCCTGAGGTCCCAGACAGTGTCTGTCAGAGATGGAGACACCTCTGTATTCCAGCCCAGTGAGTGCCCTATCAGTCAGCCAATAAATAACCATTTATTAAGTCTACAGGAAGGGATCCATGACTTTGCTTAGCATACAGTAAGAGCTTAATAAATGATTTTCCACTTTGCTCATTTGTTCATGTGTTCAGGCAGTCACTGAATGAATGTGAGGACTTTATAGTTGATGCCCATCTTCTTGTGGGAATGGAACCCCACATTCTTCCTTCAGGATTCACTTTTTTCATCACCGCCTCTTCTTGCTTTTTTTCGAGGAACAAAACAGCATCTGGTACTGATGCTGATTTTGTATTTTGGAAAGCCATGTAAAAAGGAATTCGGAGATGCTTTTTGGAGAAAAAGGACATCCCAATGCATTTGAGAGGGTGCTTTAGATGTCGTGAAGGACCCAGGAAAGCAATGTGGCCACAAAAAGGCTGGAACAGCAGATGGAGCCCAGAAATGGGGCTGCCCAGTCTCAGAATGATTGGAAATAGTCTGGCAGAAGGCAAGGGGAGTGTTATCTGGACTGAGGAGACAGACAGCAGAAAGGGAAGGCTTAGGAACATCTTGAGAGCTGCCCCACCCACAGCTTCCTCTGCCTCTTTAATGAAGAAGGAAATTTAACCAAGCCTTGGGAGCAGAAGAGAGTGGAATGGTGACCCGGGACTCCTGTGGCCATGGGGTTCATGGCTTGAGTAGACTTATCTGCCCTTTCACAGCTCCACAGAATTCCCTGCTGCCTTATATGAATTGGACCAACTTAGGAGTCAGGATGATGAATTCCAAGCTGGACGTGCCCCTGGATGGTATCTAGGTCAGGTCCTAGTGGCAGTGCGGGCCAGTCGAAGGTATGCTCGATTTCAAGTCAAAAACCCAAGGTTCAAATATCTGTCACTCACTACTCAGGTGACTGTGACTTGACCTCTCTTGGCCTCAGTTCCTCATATTAAAATGAGTGGGTTGGAAAAGACAGCCCCTGAGGTCGCTTTTGGTTATAACTTTTAATGACTTATCATCCATTTTACAGACAAACACTGGAAGGACTGAGCTGACTTTACCAAGGTCACATACATCGGTAGAAAATGGAGCTAGGATTTTAATTCAGGCTCAGGGTCTTCAATGTTACTGCTCTGGCTGCTCCCTACATCCTCAGGACAATGTTGTGGGGTTCTGCAAAGGTGGGACCACACAAGGAGAAAGTCATTATCATGGATGCCCGTATTTGGGAGGGCCTTCAGAGGGCATCTGGTCTAACACAAGAGAAACAGCCCTGGACTTGAACTCAAAAATCCAGCTCTATCCCTACTTACCCACGTGACCTTTGCCAAGTCTCTCAACCCCACTGGGTTTCACTCTCCTCATCTGTAAAAGAGGTGCTTGGACCAGATGACCCCAAAGGACCTTCCATCCTTAAGTCTATGACTCACTGACTACATCCCCCTGGAGTGGCCCACCAGAGTCCAGCAGAACTTATCCTGGGAGGCTTCTCCATTTTCCCTCTCTTGCCCTCTCCAGGGCTTAGCACAATACCTGGCACACACTAGGTGCTTAATAAATGTTCCCTGATTGAGAAGGAACCCACCACCATTCACAGAATCCCATACTGCTTTTGAACAGCCCCAGCTGGTAGGAAGATTTTCCTTATGCTGAGTTGAAATCAGTTCTCTCTCCCTGACTGCTTCATTTAATAAATGCTTACTGACTGACAGACTGCTCCTCCTGTGGGATGGTCCCTCCTCACCACCCTAGAAGCTGTCCACTCTCTCAATGTACTCCTTAAAAAGTAGTTCCCCGACCAGAATAGAACTAGGAGAGAGAGTACAGGTGGCTTCTCTCAGCTTTTTCCAAGATGCGATTCCTGTCCACATAAGCCCAGGTTTGCATTAGCTACTTGGATCATCATGGTACATTTTACAGACAAACACCAGAAAAACTGAGCTGACTTTACCAAGGTCACACACATCAGTAGACTGACTGATCTCAAGCTTGTGGGGCCACTAAGAGCCCCCAGATCTTTTTCACATCATGTGCTTCCCACCTCTCCTCTCCTCTGTGTTTGCTCAGTTGATTTTGCAAAACCAAGTGTCACATTTTTTTTCAATTAGGTTAGATTTTATTTACCTGCCATAAGCAAAACGCCTGTCTTTGTGGTGGTCACCAAAGGTATCCCAGAGCCTGAGAGAAACACTCACTTCATCGACAACATCTCGAGAACGTTCTAGGACCTGCAATAGAGAGAGCAAGAATGGTCACTTCTGCTCAGGAGGCCACCAGGCCTGAATATACATCTGACAGATTTTCTGCTGGGTTTCCTCATTCTAAGAGCCTTAGCTCCATGGATTTAGTCTATCTTGGATGGACCTTCTTATCTACACGTTGTATCTTTCATTAGCATAATGGGGCAGGCACCAGATTTTCATCTGTCTTTGTATCCCAGTGCTTAACACAGCAGGGCTTGGTATGCAGCAAGTGCTTAAGAAATTCCTGTTGACCAATGGCAGACAGCTTTGTCAATTTTAAAGGCTGTGTGAGCCTGGGCAAGTCACTTCATTTCTTAGGGCCCCAGAATATTCTCTAAGACCCTAAATGGCAAAGCAGTTACCAATCTGCAATGGTAGAGGAAGTTTCTTAACTGGGACTTCTCTATACTTATGAAATGATAAGTATAGTCCAAAAAAAGTGGTCCATTAATTATTGCTGCCCCCAATGTGGCTTAACCTAGGAAATAACTTTCTTCTATGAATGTTCCGTGAAAAGTGAGGGAGCCCCGACATTCTGGGTCATGACTGTTTGCTGCTTTACTTCCCTCCCCAACCACTCAGTTTAGCATATTTGGGGTGGGGGGGTCAGTCTCACTTGAAAGGTGCCCAGGTCTTTGGCCCGGTAGGATGGTAGGGCCCCCCTTACCTCCTGGCATACTCGGTACTGGTCAATGGCCCATACTGTGGGCACATGAGTGGCCAGCAGCTGGTACTGGGTCAGAGTGGTGTTACATGCCCTGGCACAGATCAGTCGGGTCTTCCCCACAGCATTGTCTCCGACCACGACACACTTGATGGTTTCAACGTTGGGCCTTTCGTAATCCATGTCAGTGTCCATTTATCCAAATCTGCAACGAGAGGGTTGTTACACAACTCCCCTGGGGCCCCTCCTCAGTTCGGAGGTCCCAGGTAGTACACTATCTTCCCTCATTGGATGGGTCTTCCAAGCCCCAGAAAGCTCCAAGTTCACCCCCAGCTTGCCTGAGATCAGGGAATGCCTCATCTCTACCCACATCAGGACAAAAAATAAAACAAAACAACCAAAAGGACATGGTTGTTTTGACCCCAGATGATGGATTCCATTTAACATGTTATTTTCTCCTCAGTTTTCTGTAAATACAAACCTGCCGACTGGAGATGGATCTGAGTAGAGGGGGGACAGCTGGCACGGTCTGCCCACGGCTAAGAGCAGGAGGCACTGGATACCTATTGGCTCTACTCTGACACTCTAGTCCAAACTGCTGACCTTGGAGATTTCATCTAATAACAAATTATGAAAATGATGGCTCTCCCACCATGATGGGGGCAGGTTCAGCCAGGCGGCAACAATGTACAAATGTAAAGGCAAAGTCTCATCTTAAAGGAATGCCAAGTGAACAGAATGGATGAATGAGCAAAATGTAGGGGCGGAAACCAAAGGGTTTGGGGATGGGGAGCAACACAGTTTGTATGTGGCAGCGTAGCCACGGGATCGTTCTCAAGCAGGTATATTGTTTTTTTTTTTTCCTTATTCTATCTTCATCAAGAAACTGAGAAAACCTGATTATTGACCAAGGGTCCCCAATCTTCAACACAAGGGCACTAGAAAGACTGGGATCTGGAGGCACAGCGCCGGATATTGAGTTTGAGTTCTGGCTCCATCATACACAAACTGTGGGACATCTTGCAGATCACTTCAACACGAAACAATCAATCAACAGAAAGTTCTCACCACCAAAGTCACTGGCCCTGTCATATGGTTCAACATCAGAAACTGAAATTATTTTGTTAGCTCAAAGGATACTAGAGAAGAGGCATAACCACATGCTCTGCGGCTGCCCCCTAAGGACCATGGGACCCTTATATCTGACTCATAGCTAAACCCTTCTGTGTGTGGTCTCCCCCATTAGAAGGTGGGCTCCTTGAGAGCAAGACCCACCTTACTTTTCTATTTCTATGCCCACCATAGTCCACTGCACATAGTTAGTGCTTAATAAATATTTCATTCATTCATTCATTCATTAACTGGCACTGATTAAATGCCTACAACCATGCCAAGAACCTTTTCTCCATAAAAATAAAGAAATTGGAAGAGTAGGTGCTTACTAAAATTTTGTTCATTTGTTAATGATTTAATGTATATAGCGAGGCAGGAGAACAACCACAACCATTTGTTTGGCACTTGAAGGGTTACGGTATACTTTTCTTCTTTTTTAAATTTTATCTTTTTGGCTAGGCAATGGGGTTAAGTGACTTTCCCAGGGTCACACAGCTAGTAAGTGTTATGTGACTGAGGTTGGATTTGAACTCAGGTCCTCTTGAATCCAGGGCTGGTGCTCTATCCCCTGCACCACCTAGCTGCCCCCATGGTATACTTTTCTTATGACAATCTGGTGGCGTAGGTAGTGCACAAATAATTTCCCCATCGAAACAATTGAGGAGATTGAGGCTGAGTAGTTCAGTGCTTTAGCCAGGGTCGAACAGCCAATAAGTGTCAAGAAGCTAGGTCTGAACCCTGCCCTCCTGACCTTCTGGTCCAGGGCACTCTTCAACACAACAAAGGAGCTTCAGGTCCTTAATCCCACTTGGTCTTTCTTTTTTTGTTTGACTGAATCCTAAATGATATGCTCAAAACAGAGGAAGGCAAGAGAGTGGCAGGGCCTTTTTCTTGGTTCATCTTAAAGATTGCTGAGTCGGGGCAGCTAGGGAGCACTGTAGGTAGAGCACTACCCTGGAGTCGGGAGGACCTGAGTTCAAATCCCATCTGAGACCGAACACTTGACACTTACAAGCTGTGTGACCCTGGGCAAGTCACTTAACCCCAATTGCCTTGCCAAAAAAAAAAAATTGGGCTGCTAGGTGCACAATGAATAGAGCACTGGCCCTGGAGTCAAGAGGATTTGAGTTCAAATCTGGCCTCAGACACTCAACACTTACTAGCTGTGTGGCCCTGGGCAAGTCACTTAACCCCATTGCCTAGGGAAAAAACAAATAAAAAACAAACAAACAAAAAAAACAAACGCTGAGTGGCCAGCCCTCTGGGGCAGGTCTCTCTGACCCACTCCAGTCATGAGGACCAAAGGAAAAATCTGGGATTTCTGGGCTGTTCACATCCTTTAGCCAGAGCACGTGTCCCACATGAAGTGGTCAATCAATGCACATTCCCCGCCTTACTATGCACACAGATCAGTAAACACAACGTAGGGTATGGGGGGCCCAAGAAGAGATTCAGATGAAGTGCTTTCAGAAAATGCTAGGAGGAAGAGAACCCTTTCAACTGGGGGGAGGGGCACCATGAGAACAGGCTTGATAGGAACTTTGCAGGAAAGATTTATTACATTACAAAGCCTTGATTATTTCTCATGCCCAGAAACAATTTTATTTTTGGGGGGAGAAAGTTCATGGCAAGCTACAAAAACTCACTATCATCTGGGTCAGTTCCAGGCAGGCAGCGGTGTCCCATAAAGCACAAAACCTGTTCTGTGAGCAGCGGTTTCCCCACTGTCTATTAGTGTCCATCACATCACCAGGTGAAGTACATCAAGGCAAGTCCATTTGATTCTTCTCCAAGCATCACTGCCTTAAATGAGCTGAAGGTTCACTGAGGCCTTGGGATCATTTGGAGAGGGACTATCCGAATACTGAGTTTGCCTATTAAGTAGATGTGCCTTAAGGCAAACCATGAGTGCTTAATAAATGCTTGCTGATTGATTGTTTGCTCTCGGAGTCAGAAAAGACCTGGGTCTAATGCTTGTCTCTGACACTTCTTATTTACTGTGTGACTAAATGAACCCACCCCTCTGAGCCTCAGTTTCTATGTATAATGGAGGTAATAACATCCATAAACACCTTCACAGAGCCATTGTGCGCAGTGCTACAACTAGCAATTTTGGCGCCTGGGGCCAGTTGAACAGAGCAGCAGCACATTCAAATGACTTAGTAATTTATGATGTGAAAAAAATATAAAAAGCAATGAAAACAAGTTCAATCAAATGGTTAGAAGAATTAGAAACTAGAGTGGCTTCTAACTGCTAAAAGAGCTCAGGTGTTAAATTTTTGCACTCCCTAATTTTTGATTCCTTGAGGTATAAAGCTCCAGTCATCTTGACCTACTTATAACTGGCTATAAAGATCAAATGAGCTAATCAAGTAAAGTGCATTGTAAACACTAAAGCAATTACCAGTTTGGCACTCATTCCACTGTACCCCATTACCTCTATCCACTATGATGAGGAGGCTAGGTGATGCAGTAGATAGAGTCCAGATTCTAGAGTCAGAAAGATTTGAATTCAAATTTGGCTCCAGACACATAATAATTGTGTATCCCTGGGTAAGTCATTTTACTTCCTACCTACCTCAGTTTCCTCATATGTAAAACAGAGATAATAATAGCACCTACCTCCCATGGGTTGTGACAATAGAAGAAATGTTTGTAAAGAACGTTGTAAAACCTTAAAGCACTATATAAATGCCTATCATCACGATCATAGGTAATGAATGGACTTTAGGCTAGGAGTCCTGGAGGAGAACAGGAGTATAAATTATCATTCCCTGCCCTCAAGGAGTTTCTAATCTGGGAAGGGCCAGTCCTACATATGAAATGAAAGGAAAAGAACAAACAAATGAATAAATGAACAAAAAGGCATTTATTTATTAGATACTTATTATGCACCAAGTGCTGGGATAAAAAAAAAGTGAAGGAGGCCTCCACCCTCAGGGACCTTACAATCTCATGGGGGGAGGAAGCATCTAGAGGGGAGTCATGGCCAAAGAAGGTTATTTTGGTTTGGGAAGTTGCAGGGATGGTGACTGAAGCAATAAGGGAGGAGATTGACACAACTTTCTCAACTGCAGAATTTGGTTGTGATTCCATCTGATTTTGGTTCTATAATAATGTAATGATTAAATGCTAAATTCTGTAGTATAGACTGTAGTAGTTGTTCAGTAGTTTTAGTCCTGTCTGACTCTCTATGACCCCATTTGGGGTTTTCTTGGCAGAGATACTGGAGCGGTTTGCCACTTCCTTCTCCAGTTCATTTTACAGATGAGGAAATTGAGGCAAACAGAGTGAAGTGACTTGTCCAGGGTCACACAGCTAGGAAGTATCTGAGGTTGTACTTGAACTGAGTCCCGACTCCAGACCCGGCAATCTATCCACTGTGTTACTTAGCTGCCCATAGACTGTAGGAGGAAAAGGCAGGATCTGAAGGGTTCTTTGAAAGTTAATAACTATATGTAAAACTATCTGTCTATCTCTATCTATATATGACAGGGTATCGGCCCAAGTTGAGATCCTCACCCCTTGCTCCAAAGGGAATCTGGCTCTACAGGCCCCAGCTCCTTATTTCCCTTTGAAAGCCCTGGCCCAACCTTTTGATCTTATTCAGATGCGCCTTCCTCCCTAGCCCTAAAAAGAATCTGGCTCCTGGGTCCCAGAAAACCCTTAAACTTTTAGGTTCCTTATTGACTCCCCTTATCTCTCTTTGAAAGCCCTGGCCCAACCTTTTGATCTTATTCAGGTGCCTTTCAAACTTCTACTTTCCAGCTCCCTTCATTATCTATTCCCATTGTTTACTCAATCTCTAAGACCTTCCAATCAGAATTCTCATCTAGACCCTTTTTCCAGCCCCTCCTCTGGCCACCCAAAGTTACCCTGGCCCCCATTCAAATGCTGAGACTTTCTCATGCCCAAAAGGCTGAGACTGTCTCATGCCCGCTCATCCTTATGGCAGCGTCACCTGGCCTATGTGATTTATCTCTAATAAACTTTTTCTCTGGCTGGAAGGAGATTTGAGTTGAATTCTTTCAGGCAGGGCCCGTGTTGAAATCTTGGGGTCCATTTGAGCACCCCAAAACCTCTAGACCTCTT